ACCTGGGAGTCCTAGGGGACAACAGGATGACCGTGAGCCAACAGTGTGCCCTCACGGCCAAGAATGCCAATGGCATCCGGGGGTGCGTTAAGAAGAGCATGGCCAGCAGGTCGAGGGAAGTTATCCTCCTCCTCTACTCTGCGCTGGTGAGGCCTCCCCTGGAGTGCTGTGTAAAGTTCTGGGCTCCTCAGCTCAAGGACAAGTTGCTACTGGAGAGGGTCCAGCGCAGGGCCATGACAAGGATGAAGGGCCGGGAGCTCCTTCCACATGGGGAAAGGCTGGGAGAGCTGGGTCTGTTCAGCTGGAGAAGAGGAGGCTGAGGGGGGATCTTATCAATGCTTATCCATATCTAAAGGGGGGGTGTCAGGAAGATGGGGCCAGGCTCTTCTCAGTGGTGTCCAGTGACAGGACAAGGGGCAATGGCCATGAACTGGGAAACAGAAGGTTCAGTGTGAACATGAGGAAACCCTTCTTCCCTGTGAGGGTGACAGAGACCTGGAACAGGCTGCCCAGAGAGGGGGTGGAGTCTCCTTCCCTGGAGACTTTCCAAAGCCCCTGGACTTGTTCCTGTGTGATCTACTCTCGGGGATCCTGCTCTGGCAGGGTGGTTGGACTAGATGGTCTCTAGAGGTTCCTTCCAACCCCCACCATTCTGTAAATCTGTGAACTGGGTATGTGATTCTCCTGCCAGAACCTTCTGCTTCAAAGGACAGTTACTTCCACCATGGATTTCTTTTTACTAAGGGAATGCAATTGTTTGCTTTTATTTGTGGTGTTACTTAAAATATTTGAGCCCTCTGGAAAAAATATTTACATGTTTTTTTCTTTTCCCTTGCTTAGTCCCTCATTGATATTACTGTTAAGGAATTGCCTCCAAAAGTATTGGGATCACCAGCTTATCAGGTTGCTGATATGGATCTTTTAAATGTAAGTCTGATGTCCTTCCAGAGCTCTTTATTTACGCTGAAATGTATTCCATTGTCATATTTATGCAAACGTACAGAGCACTTCCGAAGTCATTAGGTCCAGGTCTTTCAGGAAAACATTATTCCATGTTCCAGAAGGCAGATTTTGCTTCCAGCCCTCATTTTGGATGAGTTAATTCAAGCATCTGTAGCTAAAAAGGGTTATGCTAAAAGTACTGTAATAATGAAAGAGGATTTCTCGTGTTCAGGTCATGATTTAAAACACAGGTTGCAGGTGCTCTGCAAGGAGACTGCACGGCCAAACTGTGTAGGGTTGTTTATGTACTGAAAACTCAAGTTTTAGGGAAACGTTGTGAAGCTGGCAGAGTGAAGTGCAGTAAAGGAAGGTAGGAAGGGTTATTCCTCGGGAAAAATAAATGCACAGAAGCAAAGCAGAGAATATGGTGCTGACAGCATCCCTTCAGGAGAAGGTCAGAAGTTGAGAGCTGAAGCCTGGGCTTGCTGGCCGTAGTGCTGCAGCAGGAGTGGTGGTGTTCACTGGCCCTGAGAACACCCTGCTGCCCTTTGGTCCCAGTGAGCCCTGACTGGAGTGCTCTGCCGTGTTCCGTACTGCATCGGGGTGGAGAAACCGATAATGGCAGTCTAGGAAACAACCACAAAAAGAGAAGGCTGAAATGACACTTTGTCATTTCAAATGACATTTGTCATTTTGTGTGTGTGTGTACACCCTTTTTGTTTGGGGTGGAGCAGACTGGGTAGGAGCATACCATAGGTTAGATTTATTAAAAATGTAGTAGTTTGTTTAGAGACTTAAAATTGGATGATGATCAGCTCTTCTGCATCCACCAGGAGACAGGGGTAACTTGTTTCGCAGCAGTTGGAGCGAGAGCTTTCTAGCCTGTGAAAGCAGCTGAATACTTACGTTGTTATCCAGGGAGAGCACAGGGTTTGTTTAGAGGCTTTTAAAAGCAGGCAGAGATCTGAGAGAGACCAAGTGTAGCAGAGTAAGCGGCTGCTTCAGCTGGAGTGAATAGTACAAAAACTATCTACCAGCTTAAGAGCTCAACACAAAATTCATCCCAGTTCTTTTCCTGGGTGTTTTACTTACATTTGGAGGCTATTTCGGACTTGGGAACAAGAGTCAGAACTTAATTGAAGTGGTTGAAGCTTTACCTGGCCCGTGTTAAAGGCTTTAGCATTAGCAAACCTGAAATACTCATGATGGATTTTACCAGAGGCTTTCTGAAACCTTGCAGTAAATCTCAGGTTGCTCCGTCATGTTCTGGGTATTGTAATGGGCGTTGACTACGTTCCGTTACCCTTTACCCTGTTTGTCGTGTGACATTTCAAGGCAGCGGTGACTAAGTCCTTCAAAACTCACAGCCTTTTAAACAGGAAGTTTTTTGCTTCAGCTGCAGTGTAACTGGTATTCTGCTGAAGCACCAGGATCGAGCAGAAGCTTAGGCCACTCACTTTTATTTTGAATTGACAATTTTTGACAACTTCTAATAACTCTAAGCCAGGAATTTGCAACTAAATGTAGTATGTAGATACGCGTGTGAGGCAGCCTTTGTGTTTGATCAATGTATGTGTTGTTCTGACCTCTCAAATTTCTCTTACAAGGGAACACCAGCTTTGTTCTTAATTCAGCTGCCTTTCCATAATGGCGTCCTGGAATGCTGCGTAACGGATGAGAGGTATGTGGTGGTGTTTGTGCTTCCTGTAGTTTAAGACTTAAGAGGTTTTTCCTAACTTCAGGTGACAAAAGTACCTCACCTATTCAATTTTCTTCCCTAGGTTCTTTGTAATTCTGGAAAGGCTCGTGGGTTATGTGTTGTCTGGCCCTACGTCTCCGCTGGCTTTCAGTGAGTCGGTGATCAGCATTATTAATCAGAGCGCAAAGCAAGTGGAAAATAAGGAGCATCTTTGGAGAATGTGGAGTATTATTGTTACTCCGCTCACCGAATGGATTAATCGGGTAGAGTGGCTCTTTGTTCCCTTCCCCATTCCTGCCTCTCAAGAAGAAACACGGGAAGGCTGTGTTAAACCTTTTACCTTGATCAATTTTTAGGCATTGTGTGTCGTAGTGATGGTAAAATTACATAAGCCTTGGTAGGATTTGAGAAATTGCCGTATCTGCAGCTTTTTATTCTTAAGAAGTCGCTAACTGGAGCACGAACCTTTGCAGTGAGGAGTTGCCATCCAAAGTGTGGTTTAAAGTGACTCCAGTCAATAAGAATGATCATTCTTAAGTACAGTGACCACTACAGTCTTGGGAATGTTTTTCTCCCTTGGTTAAGATCGTAAATGTGTTGGTAGATGGTGCTTCAAGGCTTCGCTCCTCAGCACGGGCTGGCTGCTGTCAGGGGTGAGAACTTGCCCGGCCGCACCTCTTCGCTTTTACACACCAAGAGGCTCATTTGCTTTGTGTGAGAATATAATAAATCTTGAGTTGTGCCGTTGAGGATGTAATGAGAACAGTGTTTCTTACTAATGTTAGATTTCTTGGTGGGAAGCCCTAAGGAAAACGATATAAACTCTAATAATCAAGAGGTTCACTAGGTCACTTACGAGAAGTACGTTGAGTGTGACGGAGGAGTCGTTGAACTAATCCTCACGTCATTGTACCTAAAAATCTTATCACAAAGGAAGTTTTAGGTGCTTTAAGTAGGTTGCTGTTATCACTTACGGCAGCTGAAATCAGCTAGAAAATATCTTACTGATTTTTTTTCTTTTACTTACTGTTTTTATTCTTGGAATTAAGTCATTTTGGAATTAAGAAACAGTGCTTTTGATCTTCTGTAAATAGTAGGGTCAGCTTTGACTCCTGAAAGAACTGAGAAGAGCCGATTTCAAAACGCCACTGGCAATTTACCTTGCACAGATTTTATGTCCAAAATAACTGTATTTAGAACAGCCTTATTTGTCAAAATCTAAACTTTGCAGCTTCCCTAACCCGACAACTGCCTTCTCGTTGCAGACAAACGAAGTAAATCAGGGTGATGCACTGGAGCACAACTTCAGTGCCATTTATAGCGCGCTGCTCCTGCCGGTGTCACACATCTTCCCTGCTCAGGAATTCCCACAGGTAAGGGTGAATGCACAGTGTTGGTCAGAAAGAGACGTGGGCTTTATAAAAACTGTAAAGTACTGTCTGATAATCAGAGTAGTTACTGCTACGACTGTACCTTGGGCTGCTGCTGCAGGGTTGGAATTCTTGAGTTATGTAGGTTTTGACAGAAGAAGAAAACTTGAAGCAAGTTTTTGTCTCTACGCACAGACACTGATATGTATAAACTTTCTCTTTCTGTGGTTAAAGCCAACTATGAAATCCTTGTTGCGCTCTTGGTCGGACCTGTATAGAGCGTTTGCTCGCTGTGCTGCTTTAGTTGCAACAGCAGAAGAAAACCTGTGCTGCGAAGAACTTTGCGCCAAGATAATATCTGGGCTAGAAGGTGAAACTCCAGTTGTGAGTATAAACCAGTGATATTGAACTCTATAAACACTTTAGCAAATATATCTTAAATTAGACATAAGAATCTATTGTAAACTCTGATGTAGTGCTTTCTCTAAATTAACGTGGTTCTGGTGGGACTTTAAACCATAACAAAATTCTTCTTACTAACAGGAGTTAATACAGGAAGGGATTGAAGGAAGAGAGTAAAAGTAATTATAAGGCTTAAATAGAAAATAGCTAAGCAGCCTTTGGATTTGTCTTCTAACTTTTTAAGTAATACTGGTTGAGTGAAAATAAATAAAGTAAAAGGTGATTGTCTGGTTGAAGTGTGCATGAGTATATAAAGTAACTTCAGGCTGAATTAACAACTGCCACAAAACCAGGCATTGGTTTTGGTTAGGAAGGAGGGTAGAGTAGCTCTGTAGCACTCCCAGGGTGTAACTGGCTCTATTCCTGGTACCGTCAACCCTGTACACAAAGATGTAAAGACTACTTCAAAGTGTTCTGAAAGAGAGTTTTGGAAAGAGGAAACCTTTATGCTATATCTGCCTTGCCAGTTTGCAGGCCCACAGCATGTGGGGAGATAGTGTCTGTAGGTGTCTGTGAACATAAAATCCTTCAGACTTCCAGTCGACTGTCTTTTGAAAAAACACTGTGAAAGGAGTAAGTAAGAAACACGAGAAGGAAAAACGGAATTGGAAAACATGGGATTTGGAGGATTACATCATTGTAACTTCCTTTGGATGCTGCTGTATCCTGATAATAAACCTTAATTTTCAAAAATTAATAATTATTAAGCAAGTCAGACTTGCTTAGAGTATGTCTTGGATCAGTATTAGAGCTTCAGTATGTAAGTTACAGTGAAACTAAACTTTTTTTTGGCCCACAATATCAGTGTTACTTCTAAAAGCAAGGGGTCATTTTTATTTAGAAGAATTTGTGATGGACTGGGGATAGAAAAAGCTTGACCCATCTCTGTATGTAGTAGAAATTGATCGTGCTTCCTGAATGCTAATGACAACCTTGTTGCTATGCCCACAGCCACTTTCTTGAAAATCAGGCTTTGTACAGTAACTGAGCACACTCTGTTGAGTAACGTGTTTTGCTAGACAGCCAGTGCCTGGAGCCTTAATGTTCTTGATTCATCTTCCTAAATCTAACACTTTTTTACTGCTGCCTCCAATTCTTCTGCTTCTTCAGGTAGTAGGCATGCTTAGGTCTTATTTGTATGGAATGGGAAGGCTCAGTCTTCAGCAAATGTCTGGTTTAAAATGTAATCTAATCAGTCTTGCTCAGTACTGCAGACAAACTTCATCCACTTTCAGATGTAAGAGCTGTGTATATTGCTGTCCGTGGCCAGGGTGGGTTTTTTCTGTCGCTGTTGCTCTTTTGGGCTGTGCTGATGACTTCTGTTTCCTCCTCAGATGTTTTCCATGATGGATGGTCTCACCCATATTATATCGGTTATGGTTGACTGCATCAACTTTGCCCCGTACGGTACTAAATATCAGCCAAAAATTAAATGTAAGAAAATAATTGAATACTAGGGGTTTCTGTGTCTGCCTTGCAGACTGGTTGAGACGTGGTTGTAGATGGGGAATTGGTGACTGTAGACTGTCAGTGGTGTGTATATGCTGCACATGCTGTCTGAGCACCAAAGAGGTTGACAGGAAAGTCATAAAGGAAATGAAAATATAATCCAGTATGCATATTCGAGTATCAGATCTTCTTGATTTGCTGTAGTTACCGCCTGACAAAATGCATCTGAAAGGGATGTAAACGTTGAGGCCACTTTTCAGTGCACTGTAAACCACTGTTCTACAGGAAACACTTGTTTCTGAAGTTGGATGTGATACTTGGCCTATGATACTTTTTTTGCACGTGAGATCTGCTGCGTCATCTGAAGGAGAAATGCTTGATTATAATCCACAGTCTAATTATATAATGCCTGCCTAAACCCATTGCTAAACTGTTCATGTTCAGAAGCTGCTTTGCATACAACAGTCAAGAACGGGTTTAACAGTGTCAGAGGCCATTGTGTGTAAAGCAATGGTTCTGTTTCCTACTCCCCTTTACAGCTGTTAAAAGCTCAAGAAATTATTGATATAATGAAGTTTTTTATAATTTCTTTGCCCACTACATATTTGTTAACGTAGGGAGACGTTGTGCTGGACTGCCGAAAGACTGAAACGCTTCAGTGGGTAATGATAATGAGGAAAAAAAGATGAAAACCTCACTTACAAATAAATAAACTGATAAAACTTGATACTTTTCCCCTTTTCCAGAACTGATGCGTATCAGCTAGCGTGGTTGCTGCGCTTCAGCAAGTGTACTGTAGAGCATAATCACCTGTAGGACCGAGCGTAAATACAGGCAAGGAGTAGGAGCCACACTAGTGGTACGATAACACCGTGCATTAAAAACGTCTGTCTGCTGCTAGCTCTGGTTTTATACTAGTTGCATGCAGATGCAGCTTGGGAATCCAAGTCCCGTTTCTCACGTAGGCGGAAAGTTCGGATGTGTGTTGTAGCATGCGTGCATTAGATAAGGAAATTAACTCTTCTCTATGTTAGCTCCACAGACACCTACAGATTGGTCTAAGAAGAAAAAGGAACCCCTCGGAAAGCTTGCCTCTCTATTTAAACTCCTGGTGATGTTGCTAAACTCTTTCCATGTGTTCAGTTCCAAAGAAATCTGTTCAGAAACATTGGTCTCTGTCGGTCCTTCAATTATTGCTATTCTTCACAACATCATCAGCCACGTTTCATTGCCTTCGGTGACTGGGACTATGTTTGCAATTTTTTCAAACCCCCTGGCAGTGTTTTATGAAAAAACAAAGTGAGTATTTCAAGAGTGGTTGGGAAGCGGGATGCGTTGTGTTGCTGCGTATTGGTGGCACTTTGCGGTCCGTAGGGAGCAGCGTATGTAAATACAGCTCGAGTTTTCGGAGCTTTGGCGCCGGTGCTAAGAATTCTCAGCTCCTGCTAAGCCTCTCGCCTTTGAGAGCACCGTGTCTTTTACTGGCTCGGGCCTAGCTGGTCAGCACTTGGTTTGTAGCCTGCCCGAGCCCTGCAGAAAGAGTGGGTCGGTTGGGTAGTCGCTGAGAACTTGCTGTCTTCTGCAGTTCCTGCCTAAAACATGGGGTGCTGGTACAGGGAGGGGTGTATCTGAGCCGGGGGCAGGCACGTGAGCTCGGAGCCCTGCCCTCTGGTGAGCTTGTGGGGTTGGCAAACTCAGGGTTGTGGGAGGAGGGAGGGCAGGGTAGGATGGTGCCAGTCAGCCTGGCAAGGTTTGCTCGAAGCTGTTACTGATGGGGGAAGCGGGACTGCTACCAGCCTTCTAAAACTGATCAGGAGTCCCTGTCTCGGAGGCAAGAATCCACTTGTTGCTGCGTACGGTTGAGTTGAACGCCACCACTCTCCCATCTCCCATCTCATCTGCCGTTTGAGCGTTGGGTTCCTTAGAGTTACTTGGTAACAGGGAGACGGGAGTGTTGGATGCCTGTTTTTGAAGGAAGGCAAGCAAGTACAAGCTTGGGAACCTCTGGCTGGAGGTTGCGGGCACTTAACGTCAACTACGGAGTGCGGTTTTCTCGCGTTTTTCAGGCCGGTACCTCGGGATTTATCACGTGGCATTTCTTAGTTTAGGTGGTACTTCAGCTTTTTAATGCGGATATTTGCGGGGCCAAGGAAATCTGTTTGGGGAGAGGGTTAAGGGCAACACAAAGGTGACAGAAGTTCCTTCATAAGAAAACCTTTAAGTCTGTGCTAATTATTATTGAACTTTCATTACTTCCTCTTGAAGTTTGCCTTGAAGTATCAGCGGGGTGAAAGGGTGGGCTGACTTGAGGTTACCTCGGGAAACCTTGTGGATCGCCCAGCGGGTGGCTCGTTTCATGACATTCTCTCATCAAGCTGTATAGTCAAACGAGCGTGCAGTGCTTGAGTGCACAATGTGTTTAATTACGTGCTTGGGATAAGCGAGACGGCAAGATGTAACCTGTTCTCTTTCTTCTGGCAGGCTTGCTGACGCATCTAAAGTGTACAGTAGCCTCAACAGCAAGGTAAGCTTGCTAGAGAAAAGCTGGGGTCTGGGAAGACGTGTGACTGAGATTTGCCATTCGTCTTGTGTACAAAAGAGTTCAAAAATGTGATGAAGGTAGAGATGTAATTGTTAAATGATTTATTTTTTACTGAAGGTAGCTGAGGGTGTAGCACTAAGCTTAGCTGTTAGACGTCGTGTGGTGGGGCATTTAACCCTGTTTATTCAGGCCAGACTATTCTAAGGGCTAATAACATTTTCAGCAATGCTCTTAACTACGAAATAGTGAATATGTGCAATATTTGAGTTAAATAAAATGCTGTTTCTTCTCTCCCTCAGCTTGAAAAACTCCTGGCGGAGATTATCCTGTGTCTGCAGTCTCACTGCACGGGCTCCTACGACAGTGACCTGCTGGAGCAGCTCTCTCCGCTGCTCTGCGTAATGTTCCAGCATAAGAGCAAACAGATCCGCAACCAGTGTGCCCGCTTCTGGAACGTGACGTTTGCTAAAGCTGCGTCGTTAACCTATCCTGGAGAGTTAAAGTAAGAGACACCATCTTTTGGATTTCTCTATTTTTAAAGGCAGAGATCTCCAGTGACGTACAAACGAGCTGGTACTGCTCTGCTTCCCACTTCTGTTTGCTTTCCATGCCAGCTGGGATACCTGCTGGACTTCCTGTGTACCTTCCGCCTCCGTAACTTAAAAATCCTTTCTTCTTGAGCAGGTCTGTGTTAAGCCAAGCCAAAAAGAAAATCCCACTCTTGCTGCCTGGTTTTGAAAGCATCGAGGCAGCCGAGGAACCCAGCAGCCCGTTCCCTGATGCGGTAAGGATTTTGTGGAGCCCAGCGGGTGCCTTGGTACGTGTAACTTCCCACTGTGAAGGCAGCTGCAAGCTCAGTTTTGGTTTTCACTGCGACTGGCCTGCACTTGCTTCGTGTGGGGAACGATAAACTGCTGGGTAAGCGCAGAGAAGACCGAGCCGGTTCTGAACAGTTAATGCATTTTAAATTTGGGTTCTACTAGCTCGTTTGAAATAATTTTTTAAGCTGTCCTCTACGTAATTTAGAGGAAAACGGGAGTGTGGAACGGTTTAGGTGTAGAAATGAAAACCTCTCGGGATGGATAGTTTGAGCTCGGAGTTTCTTCCTACAACACATTCAGAGTATTTTTGTTTGGATAGATGGAAAATTCACAGCTGGACACAAAGATCAGTGGCATGGAAGTAAAGTTGGGCCAAAAACGAGACTCTCTGCTGTCACAGACGAGTGAAAGGAAAAACGACGTAAAAGACAAGTCCAGTAACGTGCAAGTCACTCCTGCAAAGGTGAAGTGTTTCCAGGTGGGTGTCACAGGATCACATCCGTCCCATTCTGCAGCCGGACATCCAGGGCACCACTGTAATCGCTCGGTGAAACTTCTGGGCTTCGTGATGCTGAAACCTTTTCTTTCACGCTGTAGAGCACCTAAATTAAATTTTCCTGTTCAGATTGTCGAAGTTTAGAGATTGCTGAGTTCTGGGGAGGGATTATGGAAGGCTGCTTGATGGATGGGAGGAGTGGCAGCCAGGTACAAAATCCACATCTCGGTCTGGTTGCAGGTTGTGAGAAGTTCAGGCGTTGACGTGTATCTTGGGTTGGGTAGACCTGTGCCGCGAGCTCCCACCCGTCGCTTGTACGGGGGAGAAAAGGCTCTCGTGCTCTTGAGTTGCTCATTTAATGAACAACAGTAAACCACAGTCCTCAGGAATATTGGGGCACCTTCCCCTGTTAGAGGCTTCGAACTTCAAGACGCCGAAGGAAGCGCAGGCACAGAGGGGGGGTTGTGGATCTCTCCTAGGCCGTAGTGCTGGGGGGAAAATACCCTCGTGCAGGAACTCTGCACCTGCCAAGGGACTTCTGCTGATTAATGTGCTGAAAGAACCGGGGTTATCTGAGAACTGTTCCATTCAGGAGGGCTGTACCTGAACTCTGAAAACACACTTGATTCCTCTATTTTGGTTCTAATCCAGGGTTTGTTTTTCTCTTTCTCTAGTTGAAACTAGATTTTTCATCTCTGAAGGCTAAGAGTGAGATACTTTTGGAAGACGAGAAATCTGTCGATTTTGTGTTTATTCCTCCTGAACCAAAAGCAAGAGTGTTGACAGAACATCAGAAAGAAGTGCTTAGGTCAAAGAGGTCCGTAACTTACTCAGCGTGGCGGCGTTTCGGGTTATCTCAGATTGCCCTAACTTCAGTCCCTCTGTCAGAGTGCTGTAGGTGACCGAGCCTTACTCTTCCGTACGGGTGTTAAAGTTCACAGCCAGCCAAGTTCCTTTCTTTGCTGTTTCAAAGCTCCGATGCGCATTTCCTGTTCGGATTAAATACCCTCTCGGTTTGCAGTTTGGAAATCCGCAGTTTACGTTTCCACTTCACGACTCGTTTGCAGTGGGAAATGGAAGATGCCATTTTCCTTAAACTACTGAAATGAAAGCTTTTTTTTACCTGATATGAAGGGTCTCTTGTCAGCAGCATATCAGAAATTAGGAAATTGCTGAGACTCGTTGTAATTTCAAGGGAATCTTCACAATCACCATCTTTTTTTAATGTGAGAAAATAATACTCAACTATTTTCTGTGCTCGGACAGCAAAAAGGTAGCGTGCAAGCAGGATCTGTGTTCAGTGGTGCCTGGCAGGAGCTCCACTGGATTCCACAGTTAGATGAATTCTTTGCGGAACAGGATCCCGGTCACAGCTTTTTCCCTCAAAAACCGTGTTTGAAATGGAGAGAGATTGACTGCAGCTGAAAACAGTGGTCTGGAAATGCAGAGGGTTTTGTGCCGCCGTCCCTTCTTGGACGCGCGCTGCGGTTTGAGTAGTCGTGAGGGTTTGGAAGTTGAGCCCGTGTCATAGGAGCAGCCGCTCTTCTGTGGCTAATGCATTGCGCTACCCTATCCTTCTTCAAAAAAAAAGAGCCCGACTTAGCCATTTTTGGGTTTGTTTCAGAGTTGGTATTCCTGCTATGTACAACAGTTTGGACGCTTCACAAGACACGACGTTTTCTCAGTGTACTCACAGCCAGGAAGACTCGCTGTAAGTAGCGGTGGCCGGTGTATACGTGAAAGGTGTCCCCCTTTGCTGCTGCGCTTCTGACTTAAGTAACTCCTGTTTTAGGGAAAAAACATCTTTAATAGAAAACGTGAAAGAAGAGACTGAAAACAAGCCTCAGGTAATTTCTTACTGTCTAATGGTAATGAAGATGTTGGAATTACAACCTTAGTAGTGCTGTTTTCATAGTAGTAGCTCTGGTAGCTAATGCTGGTGATTTCTGTGAAACTCTGTGAAACTGAGAAACTTCTGTGAAACTCTGTGATTACGGGTTGTGGCATGGTTTGAAGCTTGATTTGAATTCCATACACGGAAGGAGATCTTACAGGGATGTAGGGATCTGCTGTGTGTATATGCTACCACCGACTCAAGTTTTTTGGGGATAAAATGCCCGAAAAGTGTAGCACAGACTTGCTGTGACTGACTGCGGCACTATTGTAAGCGGTGTTCAATTGTCTGGCGTTGTTAGGAGTCATAACACCGTTTGACTTCTCTTCCGTAGCACTGTGTTTTCTCTAGGGGAGGCACTTGGTGCACGCATCCTGCTTTTTCTGGAGCTGTTTTCACTTTTAAAAGTGAACGTGACTCTTAAAAATGTCGGTTTCTATATTCCTCTGGCGAACCACGGTTTTAAACAGCCTAGCTAGGTTTCCACATTCTGAACTGCTCTTGGATGAAGCTGTAAGGGCTTGAAGGGGGATCACATAGCGGGTTTTGGGAGGAAAAAGAAAACTGTAAATCCTAAACCTTCATCTGTTTGCTTCTGGAGAGGAGTTGGCTGAAAACTGGCTTGATCAGCGCCAGTGCCCGACAGTAGGTAAAATATACCAGACTTCATAAAAACTGTTTCAGTAGTAGGTCTGTTAAATCTCTTGCAAAACTTCAATAAAATGTTTTTGCAGCTCTTTTGTGTTTTTCAGATCAAATGGCTTTAAAAAAATTATAATTATCAAAGGACAGATGATAATTTGAAGGAAGGGTGAAAAACCTCGTGGGTGTGGTGGTTTCTCTTCCACCAGGGCTGTTTTTGTATGTTCTATTCATAGCAAAAACTACAATGCTTTTATGTTTTTGGGACAGGAAGAAAATGTGAAGACTGAAGGATGCACCAACCAATCAGATGAGATCTCCAAGAACTGCGCATCGGAGCATCCTCTGGAGGACGCTGTCTGCGCGACGGAGTCGTCTGCTACTCCCGCAGAGGAGAGCTCAACGTTGAGCAGCAAGGGAGAGGCAAAGAGGGATAGAGCTGAAGGGATCCTGGAGGAGCCATCGGTTGGAGAGGAGTTAGGAAAAAGTGCCGTGGAAACAGCTTCAAAGGAGCCCTCAGCAGGGAGTGAAAACACTTCAAATGTCAGCAACAGCTCAACTTCGAGCGACATCATTTCTGGAACACCGCAGCCTGCCAGCCGCCGGCAGTCTTTTATTACCTTGGAGAAGTTTGGTAGTTCAGAGAACAGACCCTTCAGCCCTTCGGCACTGGACGGTTCATCCGAGATGTCCAGAAGCGCTTCTGTAGCGGACAGACAGGAAAACGTGTGCAAGACTGGCGGCAAAGCAGAAAAATCCGAAGGAGAAAACAAAAAGTCTTCAAAATTTGAGTCTGAACCATTATTTACCGGCACGCGAAGGCTGACTCGCAGGCAGAGTAGGATGGAGCAAAAGGGGAACAAGCAAACCGCATCGTCAAATAGGTCAGAGCAAGAGAAAAGCGCGCCGGAGCCTCCCCATTCCAGCGGCGTGGCCAATAGTCCTGAACCGCCTCCTGCAGCGGAAGACCACACTCCCCTTGCTCAGTCCCAAGCGCTCCATTCTGCGGAGGGAGAGGAGAAAAAAGAGACGACAGTGGCAGAAACGGGAAAGCCCCAGGCGTTGGATACGGATTCCAAAGAAAACACACCCCCGGAGACAGCCGTCTCCTCTGACCAGGGGGCGGGCGATGACAGTCGGGTTCCGTTTGCCTCTTCGCATCAGAAAACACTAAGACGTTCCTCAAGGCGGCGGTCAGAAATGGTAGAAAGTACGGCAGGTAGTCAGGATAAGGAAGGGGGTCACCAAAAGAAAGAGAGACGTAAAGAGGATGAAAAATCCGGGCAAAAGAAGGCGCCGCAGACTAAAGGGGACGCGTCCCAAAAGCAGAAAGCCGTTTCCGGGAAACCTGTAGACAATGCAAGTAAAATAGAAAGCAAGGTACCCGAGAGAGCTGCGGCGGAGGACTCGGAGTCCCCTGCCCTGAGGGGCCTCGCTGAGGAAGGGAACCGAAGCGCGCAGGGGTCGGAAGACAACGCGAGGGTTGACGCGGAAAGCCAGGACTGCGGCTCGGGCTCGGTAGGTCAGAAGAAGGTTGAACGCCTGCGCTACCACACAAGACGAATGTCTCAAGGATTGCTTTCCAGCATAGAAAATTCAGAGGCTGACGGCTCCGAGGCCAAGGAGGAAAGCACAAGGAGGAAAAGAACTGCAAAAGTGAAAAACAGAAGTGACTCTCTGGAAGGTAAATCGAAGGATCTGCTGCTGGGGAGCCATGAAGATGCTTCCCAGGGAGGTGAAGCGAAGAATCTCTCGGAATCGAACAGCAGCGAGGTGAGCCATGAAGTCAGCGCAGATGCTGCGCCGACCTCTGAACCCTGTGACCTGGAAAGCCAGGTCATGGCTACGGATGCTGGCGAAGCTGTGCGGTCTGCCAGCTCCAAGGATTCACCCGACGCACAGGACACGGGGGTGGGAGAGCGGAGCAGCACGCCGGTGGAGTCGTTCACCCACCCCAGTGCATCTGATGAAGATCTGAAAGCAGCAGAGCACAGCGAACACCTTGAGCCGGAAACAAGCGTGGAGGACTCTTGTTTGGCTGCTCTGCCTGAATGTGGACCGGGAGCGAACGCTTCCGCCGGTGAGCTTCCCGCTTTGGAAATGCCCGAGGGTCAGTGCAAAAGAAGCAAAAGGCTGAAAAAACTAAAGAAGGATGGGTACTGTAAAAAGCCAAAGTATCAGGGCACGTCACTGGTGGAAGCAGAGGAGAGCAGTGAACTGAAGGGGCTCCAGAGCACCCCGGGTCAGCTCTCTGCAAGAACCTCGGAGGTGTCTGACCATTCACCTGCGGAGGAGAGCTTGTCCCTGGCACCTCGTGCCATGAGCACTCCCTTGCATCCTCTTAAGGGAGCGGGTGCGTTTCACTCGCAACGAGAGGGAACATCCGAAGATAACCTGCAAGGAAGTAGTGGTGTAGTGGAGGAGGATCTAGAGAATGCGGAGCGCGTCGCAGGTGAAGTCACTGACTCCGTAGCGGAAACACAAGGACCAGCTCAGGCTGAGGAAATGGAACAGAGTCTCTCCGAGTGTGTTTCAGATGAGCCCGCTCTCTGCCTGCAGGGAATCAGCTGCAGCTCTCTGGCTGCAGAGAACCAAAGCAAAGCACTGGCAGCTACGGAAAAGGAAGGGAGTCAGAGTGGACAACCGGAGGAGGTGACCAAGGCACTGGTTGTTAACAAACCTGAGGAAAACCAGATGAGTGCGCTGGAAGGCAGCTGGGATGGTGAGGAAGCCAGGAGCACTGTAGGAAAAACTTGCCCGATGCAAGATGAAGAGATAACGGAGAAATCGGTGAAAACTGATACTACAGTGCCTGAAGGCGTGGCCTTAGACAAAGATGACGCAGTAGAAGACAACAGTGTGGCTTCACCTCAGAAGGCGGAAGGTCAGGAGTCGTTAGCGTTGGTGACCGAAAGCCCTAACGGGATGCAGGCGCGCTGCATCTGGTCTCCTTCCGCTTCTCCATCCACCAGCATTTTAAAGAGAGGTGCAAAAAGAAGTCAAGATGATGATTCCCTGTCACCTGCGAACAAGGTATGGCGATGGGGTTCATTGGGTGATGCTCACGAGTCAGCTCGTCACTGTAACAGTGTAGGGTAACGAGTTCCAAATATGTTGAATTATTGACCGTATTTTTCAGTGTTAATGGAGCTGAAGCCGTACAGGTTTCCTTTGGGAACATACAGGTACTGATGGGCTTGTGTTCTTGGGGCTTGGGAGTTTAATTTTTGAAACGAGTGCCAAAGTCTAACCCGCTGCGTGGGCTGCAGGGAGGGCAACAGCTGTTACTGCAGCACCACTGCATTGGGTCAGGGCCTCACCGCTGGATTCTGCACAGCGTCTTGGGAAATGTGTCCTTCAGCAGTGAGGGAGACGTGCTTTCCATCCTGGGGTGAATCACAGACCAGTTTGGGTTGGCAGGGACCCCAAAGCCCACCCAGTGC